GTCGGATTTGGTCCGTGAAGATCGGGCTCGACCGAACCGGCCCGCGCAGGTCGGGCTCGCTTGAGTCGCGCACGATCCGACCAGCCCTGACGAGCCCAGGTCCAAGCAGACCCGTTTCGATCGACAGGAGGGCGCGTCGGATTTGGTCCGTGAAGATCGTGCTTGGCCGAACCGGCCCACGCAGGTCGGGCTCGCTTGAGTCGCGCACGATCCGACCAGCCCTGACGAGCCCAGGTCCAAGCAGACCCGTTTCGATCGACAGGAGGGCGCGTCGGATTTGGTCCGTGAAGATCGTGCTTGGCCGAACCGGCCCACGCAGGTCGGGCTTGCTTGAATCGAGCACGATCCGACCAGCCCTCACGAGCCCAGGTCCGAGCAGACCCGTTTCGATCGACAGGAGGGCGCTTCGGATTTGGTCCGTGAAGATCGGGCTCGACCGAACCGGCCCGCGCAGGTCGGGCTCGCTTGAGTCGCGCACGATCCGACCAGCCCTGACGAGCCCAGGTCCAAGCAGACCCGTTTCGATCGACAGGAGGGCGCGTCGGATTTGGTCCGTGAAGATCGTGCTTGACCGAACCGGCCCGCGCAGGTCGGGCTCGCTTTAGTCGCGCACGATCCGACGAGCCCTCACTAGCCCCGGTCCGAGCAGACCCGTTTCGATCGACAGGAGGGCGCGTCGGATCTGGTCCGTGAAGATCGGGCTCAACCGAACCGGCCCGTGCAGGTCGGGCTCGCTTGAGTCGCGCACGATCCGACCAGCCCTGACGAGCCCAGGTCCAAGCAGACCCGTTTCGATCGACAGGAGGGCGCGTCGGATTTGGTCCGTGAAGATCGTGCTTGGCCGAACCGGCCCACGCAGGTCGGGCTTGCTTGAATCGAGCACGATCCGACCAGCCCTCACGAGCCCAGGTCCGAGCAGACCCGTTTCGATCGACAGGAGGGCGCTTCGGATTTGGTCCGTGAAGATCGGGCTCGACCGAACCGGCCCGCGCAGGTCGGGCTCGCTTGAGTCGCGCACGATCCGACCAGCCCTGACGAGCCCAGGTCCAAGCAGACCCGTTTCGATCGACAGGAGGGCGCGTCGGATTTGGTCCGTGAAGATCGTGCTTGGCCGAACCGGCCCACGCAGGTCGGGCTCGCTTGAGTCGCGCACGATCCGACCAGCCCTGACGAGCCCAGGTCCAAGCAGACCCGTTTCGATCGACAGGAGGGCGCGTCGGATTTGGTCCGTGAAGATCGTGCTTGGCCGAACCGGCCCACGCAGGTCGGGCTTGCTTGAATCGAGCACGATCCGACCAGCCCTCACGAGCCCAGGTCCGAGCAGACCCGTTTCGATCGACAGGAGGGCGCTTCGGATTGGTCCGGAAGATCGG